GAGATTTGTCCTAAAGAAGAGAGAATGCGGAAATTAAGGTTCGGACGCAAAGTTGGTAAAAGAATTTAACCAGTGATTGACGTCTCAAGAACGGCCTCAGTAGAAAAGGTCAGGTGCGGATAGATGGAAAAAAGGTTAGTGTAGGAACGTATTTGCAGAACAAATTGCAGTTTTTCGTAGAATTTGGTGCCTCCACTTCAACATTTCGCCTGGCGCTTTCGCGATGACATTTTAATTTGCGAGAGTCGGCGATTACTCGCCTACTCGTTTTGGGATTTGAGACGTTGATTTGTGAAGACGTGCCTTCCACTTGCTGTTTCAGGGTTAGGCGCCGTTAATAAAATTATTCTGGCTTGAATGCACTTCCTTTTTAAGAGTAATGTATAAAAAATTGACTCGAACATGTGTCTACGCTCAACGGCTTGAAAACAAAGCGCCCTGAAAGGGATTTGAAGTGCGAAAAAAGGTCGATAGAACTTGACGCGCAGATTACTCATGATGGCATTTGCTAAAGGTGTAAGTAAGTAAGTAAGTAAAGGTGTGACGATGCGCACAGGCGGTTCAACCAAATCTACTATTTGACCAAAAGATAAATGTAGACAGTAGAACTCTCAAAAAACACGATTGTGAGGTCATGATCGATTGACAGACTGAAAATGGACGATCCACTAGATCCTCTTTTGTTCGCCTCCTCACGGAATCCACCAAAAAAATCTATTGCGGTCTCTGATAATGAGCTTGTGTGGGGATCCAAAACATCCGGCGAGTAAAGTTGTCGCCACACACATCCCGCGCCTAAAGTTGCGATTGACAAGCGGTGATTTCAGCAACTAGATCGGAGTGAAACAATAAGAGGTTACCAGGAAAATGGACTCCGATGGAACTTTTCAAAACCGGTCTGTCAGCCACTGTGGTTAGTTTAAAAGACAATCTTACCGCCTGGGCCGGATAGATCGCATTTAAGTACAACAGAGCAATCTAGATGCATGCCTTTAAAGAAGGCCAAAACATAATCCCGTAGGTATTCTTAAATTAACCCGGCAGCCGGTTCTTACCCTGCCAAGAAATACTACAAACGGTCATTACAAATAGGTATGTGGCCGCCCGAGGCAGCATAAATCAAACCGTCACCCTTCTAACCACAATGGAATAGAAAAAGAGCTGGAACTAAATAAAATTACGTTTCTAGATTCACGGGGATATGGTTACGTGGGGTCATGTCCCGTTCTGTCTGCGGGTGTGATATAATGCGTAAGGCAAGTAAGATGGTTGAAGTCCTACTGGATGGTGAACTAAATGTACCACATAATATGGCCTTTTTAAGCGTAACTAGTTTGTTAGAACTGCGCCTAGCTACGCCTGACGGTTTGCCAGCCATATGGTTAACGGACGCTTACACGTCGGGCTTCAGTCTGTTTATTTTACAGGTAACATCAACTGAGGGGTGAAAGAAAACGTTGAGGGTAACCGTCTTCGGTCTCGACAAATAGAAAACAAAGTTGATAACAACAGCTGGGGGCTGAGCCTTAATGGTTCATAATGTTGTTGACTGGAACCG